TACAGGCGAGTTTCCCATAGATCTTTGCGAGTTTCAGGCAACTTCCGCTAATCTTTCAGCCCCCATGCCGTCACAAAGCGCCACTGAGCACAACCATTCATTTGAATAGGACGCCATCTTGAATCGCCGGGGCTTGGGTCCTCCCGGTTCTGTGCGGCAAACGTGCGTGTGTGGCTCTCATGCACACGTGCACAGAGGGGCTCGGCCGCGCTCTGACCAATCAGAGCTGATCAGAGCAGCAGCAGGGCGGAGTCAGAGCAGGAAGGAAAGGGGCAGAGTTTGTGGCAGTAAAGTGTGGATTCAAAGAAAACCGAAGGATTTAAGAAGAAAAAAAGTTCAGGACGACAAGAGACACTAACATCCTCCTTTATGAAAGCTGCAGGTTCTCTGTCAGGTTCTCTGTCAGGTTCTCTGTCAGGTTCTCTGTCAGGTTCTCTGTCAGGTGAGGTCGCGCTGTTTTAGTTTACATCTCTTTTTTCTGTGTAGCTCTCGTGAATTTAGTCTGCAGTACCACAGCGCCCCCTGTGGCCATGGGTGGGACAGCTTTAAGCTAGTAATACATAGTTCCCACATGACGTCACTACATACGGGGATTTGCCGACCCGGCGCCATTTGTCTTGGCATGCTGTGGGCAAAACAATAGTAAAAGAAGCTGAAACGTGTTAATGTCGTGATAAAGTTGAAAATGGTCGTCTCCTGCTGGGTCAATGGATGTTCAAATCGTGCCGGAGGTTCCGTTAAACTTGGATTTTACAGTATACCCATCATTAGACTTCATGAATGTGAGAAGACTAAGCTTTTGTCAGAACAACCACGGAGGTTATGGCTTGCGAAGATAAACAGGCAAGAAACTCCCTCAAAACACGCAAGAATATGCTCGGAGCACTTTGTGTCAGGTGCGTATCGTATCTTATAATGTGTTGACAGACGTAATTTACTCAGTACTAACTTGTGTATGCTGATAGCTGGTAACTTGAGAGTTTCATTATTTAGCGTTAGATTACTTTATTATGAGGAGGATCGGTGTCGCGTCCGAGGCTCTCGAGGGCAACGTAAATGTATTAAATAGATAATAATAGTTCTATGGTGGGCTAAAACAATGTTCACAAACAGCATTGCTTCTGTAAAAAGATCTGTGTCATAAAATAAACTGCTCTTTACGCCTGGAAAAATCAGTTGCCCACCATTCACCAAAACATACGGTCAAAAACGCGGAAATAAACAATAACAGCAATCCAGAGTGTCCGTGTGGCATTAGCATTAATTAAATTAATTGTTAATATAATTAAAATAATTAAATGGAGCTCCAACTGGTATTAAATCTAAAGTTTTTGAGAAATGTTTGCATTGCTTGTTAATTTTTGCTGCATAATTTGATCAAATATGTAAAACATGTCCGTAGCACGTTAAACTGTGGTGCCATTGTATTAATATACAATTATTTGCTCAAAAGTTGCCCTTTTTTTTCCAATTTGCGTTTGAATATCTACATTTATTCTCATTCTTCTGTTTAATGGAATGCACAAACACAGCAGCGTGCCATCAAAGATGGCGTCTCCGAGGAGGTCATGTGACATTCATTGGTCTGTGGGAACTATGTATACTATATCCAGTTATTATTATAGATCCAGGCCCGAGACTATTTAGCCTCTTTAGCCTCTTTAGACTCTGTCACGTCTCTACTTCTGTTTTTTTCAGACAGAAAAGTGAAACAGAGCGGACCCCCCTCACTCGGCCAATCAGCTCTCAGCCTAAACCCTCAGAGGGATCTTTCATACACAAACAAGACCATGTTTTCTGATACGGTGAAGACTTTTTCAGACCCGGCCACTGCCCTCCTTCACATTTCAGACCAGTCATAAGAAAAGTCACATGTAGCAGCTTTAAAATGCTAAGGTTTTAGTAAAGTTCTTTAAAGCTGCACTTTGTCACTGCTGCGTCGAGCTGCAGAAGGTTCTGGCTCTGATCGAGACCAACGGGAACGACAAAGGCTAGAATCAGAAATAAAACAAATGGAGAAAAGGTCCTTCGTCCAATCAGAATCAAGGATCTGAGCATGAGCCGTTTTATTACAACAAAACAACTGTTTCCATTTTAGCATTTCTATAAAAAATGAGTTTGTTTTGAATATAGTGTTGATGTTAGCTTAGCTTAGCATAGTCGACCACACTAGAAACAATCCCATGAAAAAATAAGAATAATTCTGCTTAAAATAAAAACAAATATCTGTCAATAGAACAATAAAATATGACTTTAGATTTCTGAAAATAAAACTAAATAACTAATAAAAACATACATTTCAAATATGATTTACTTATTTTTTTGATATTTTTCTTCTTAAAATACAGCATAACAAATGTTTTCTAAACAAGAAAAGTCTGGAAATTGAACTCACTGCTCAGACTTTTTTATCGAAGATTATAAAGCAATATTATCTTAAAACCAGTAAAATATCTTATGAAAAACTACAGTCAAGCAAAAAATACTTTCCATTAAAAAATAAGCATAATTTCTGTTATTTTTAGTGAATAAATTGGACCTAGAATTTACTTTTTTCAGTGTAGGCTAACCACGACGGCTGCTAGCATAACGTTAGCCTAGCATTAGCAGCAGTGACCCAGAGTCATGTGTCTCAGAGCGAACAGTGACAAAGTGCATCTTTGGTTCTGTTTCCGTGGTAACGAGAGTAAAGTCGTGTATTTACGTGAAGGGCCTTTGCTGCATGTTCATGTCTTAAACTGAACTGTGAAAACCAATAAATATGGATTCTGACGTTTCCTGTGTCTCATTTGTTTATAAAATATCATCAGAGAAACGCATCTCAATCCCTGAAGTCTCCTGTTTTTATTTGAAAATGATTCATTTGGGTTTAGTTTCTTTACTTTAGTGATGATAGAAGGATTCCTTGATCGACTGCTGACTCCTGAAATCAACTAAAGACCTCTGACCTTTGAAGATAAGCAGGGCAGGGCCTGGTTAGTGCTGTGATGGGAGACAGAGTGGGGCAGCTGCGGCTGTAAAGTGCCAAGACACACACGTGCCAAAGCCGGAGGAAACCTGCACAGGCAGAACATGCAAACTCCACTCACTTCTTAGTAAGAAGGTCCTGGGTTCGAGTCCCAGTCAGAACAGGGCCTTATAGACCAGTGTGTTTGATGTTTCACTTCATCACTGTTACTTCGTCTGGACTCGGAGGAGCACAGGGACTGGCCTCCTGCTGGGACTCTGAGGAGCACAGGGACTGGCCTCCTGCTGGGACTCTGAGGAGCACAGGGACTGGCCTCCTGCTGGGACTCGGAGGAGCACAGGGACTGGCCTCCTGCTGGGACTCTGAGGAGCACAGGGACTGGCCTCCTGCTGGGACTCTGAGGAGCACAGGGTCATGGCCTCCTGCTGGGACTCTGAGGAGCACAGGGACTGGCCTCCTGCTGGGACTCTGAGGAGCACAGGGACTGGCCTCCTGCTGGGACTCTGAGGAGCACAGGGACTGGCCTCCTGCTGGGACTCTGAGGAGCACAGGGACTGGCCTCCTGCTGGGACTCTGAGGAGCACAGGGACTGGCCTCCTGCTGGGACTCTGAGGAGCACAGGGACTGGCCTCCTGCTGGTTTGCTGTGTGTGAAAACGGAGGCGGCAGTAAAATATTCAGAGAAGACACTTATAAAAAGAATGATGGGCGGCACGGTGGCTGAGTGGATAGCACTCTCGCCTCTCAGCAAGAAGGTCCTGGGTTCGAATCTCGGCCGGACCAGGGCCTTTCTGAGTGGAGTTTGCATGTTCTCCCCGTGTCTGCGTAGGTTTCCTCCGGGTACTCCGGTTTCCCCTACCACTAAAAATATGTACAATAGTTCTAGCATGCGCCTCCTGTACTGGCCCCTCCCATCTCTGTGTGGAGTGAGAGACAAATGCCCAAAAATAACAATTGTAAACCGCTTTGAGACTCAGATCTGCAGTGAAAAGGCGGTATATAAATAAAAACTTACTTACTTACTTACTATTTAATGAGTAATAAAATTCTCTTCAGACTCAGACACTTTCTCGATCGTTTTCTCAGTTCCTGAAGTTCTCTAGAAAGAAACAGTTTCAGATGTTTCAGTTTTTTAATGACATGCTTTGTATTTACACGGTTCACAGAGAATATTACTATTAATTTATTCAAATTCAGGAGAAAACCTAGGAAAAGGAAGAATAAGGAGACATTTTGTTTGATTTCTGTTGCAGCAAAACAACAAAAACATGGACAGAAGCTGAGAACAGTTGATCTGTTTTGTTCCGTAAACACCAGAGCACTTTGTCTTGTCTTAGTTTTGCAGAATATTTATTAAAAGATAGTTATTCATAAGGTTTTTATCTTTACTCACTTTTAATAAGAGCTACAACTGGGGAATGCAGCTAAAACCGTTTGCTAAATGCTAACAGCTAAATGCTAACAGTAAAAAGTGTTGCTATGGTAACTAGCACTTGATCTTGAAAAATGGCCCAAAACTCCCCATTGTGGGACGATTAAAGGTATTCTTTCATTCAATGGAAGCAGCAGTCAAAACGACTGCTCCAGGAGGTAAACACGTCGATCATAAAAGATGAAACAATAAACTACAGACTTCAAAATGTTATGAAGACCAACAGTGTTTACACTTCTGCTCAGTTCACAGAGGAAACTATCGAAACACAGTAAACATAATGTTGGTTTCTTTGAGGTCCAAAAACCTTCTTCTCCTCCTGTAACCGTGGAGGCGATGGCTGTTCCCTCAGAGGTCTGTGGACCAGTCTCTCTGTGGACCAGTCTCAGATCAGTCTCTCTGTGGACCAGTCTCAGACCAGTCTCTCTGTGGACCAGTCTCAGACCAGTCTCTCTGTGGACCAGTCTCAGACCAGTCTCTCTGTGGACCAGTCTCAGAGCAGTCTCTCTGTGGACCAGTCTCAGACCAGTCTCTCTGTGGACCAGTCTCAGATCAGTCTCTCTGTGGACCAGTCTCAGACCAGTCTCTCTGTGGACCAGTCTCAGATCAGTCTCTCTGTGGGCGGGGGCTGAGTGATGCTCCACATCTCGACCCGGGACCCGTCCTTCTCCTGTCGGCTGGGGCTGTAGGTGCCACGTGTGGCTCTGCGGTTCAGCGCCACCACCAGGACCACAGAGGTAAAGACCAGCAGCAGCAGCAGCACCACAGACAGCAGACTGACGCAGAGGAGCAGGTGCGACGTCAGGCCTTTGGTCCTGAGCTGAAAGAGAAGACTTCACATTAGTCCCGGTCTCAGGTCTCTGTCCTGAAGTCCTCTCACATTAGTCCTGGTCTCAGGTCTCTGTCCTGAAGTCCTCTCACATTAGTACTGGTCTCAGGTCTCTGTCCTGAAGTCCTCTCACATTAGTCCTGGTCTCAGGTCTCTGTCCTGAAGTCCTCTCACATTAGTCCTGGTCTCAGGTCTCTGTCCTGAAGTCCTCTCGCATTAGTCCCGGTCTCAGGTCTCTGTCCTGAAGTCCTCTCACATTAGTCCCGGTCTCAGGTCTCTGTCCTGAAGTCCTCTCACATTAGTCCTGGTCTCAGGTCTCTGTCCTGAAGTCCTCTCGCATTAGTCCCGGTCTCAGGTCTCTGTCCTGAAGTCCTCTCACATTAGTCCCGGTCTCAGGTCTCTATCCTGAAGTCCTCTCACATTAGTCCCGGTCTCAGGTCTCTATCCTGAAGTCCTCTCACATTAGTCCCGGTCTCAGGTCTCTGTCCTGAAGTCCTCTCACATTAGTCCCGGTCTCAGGTCTCTGTCCTGAAGTCCTCTCACATTAGTCCCGGTCTCAGGTCTCTCTCCTGCTTACTGGCCCTGCCAGGGTCCAGGCGAGTGGAGGGCAAGTGGGGGCACGCTGACATGCTGCCATCTCACTCCCCGGGTGGGGGTGTACCCGGATAGAGAATTACCCAAAGCTTTTGTATGGCAATGCTTTCCTTTCTAAACATCTTTACAGGATGGGAGCATGAGGAAGAGACCGGTGCAGATGTTGGATCACAGGTTCCTTTGAGAGCACAGCCCCAGAAGCCCCCCAGGACCCCCCCCAGGACCCCCCCCCCCCAGGACCCCACTCTCAGCAGACACTCACAAACAAATAACTAAATGTAAATATAAACGGCTTCCATTTATATTTAATATTGATGTTTATATTCTGTCAGGGTGTGCAGACACAGCTGCAGACACAGCTACAGACACAACTACAGACACAGCTACAGACAAGGATACAGACACAGCTGCAGACACAGCTGCAGACACAGACACAGCTACAGACACAGATACAGACACAGCTGCAGACACAGCTACAGACACAGCTACAGACACAGCTACAGACAAGGATACAGACACAGCTGCAGACACAGCTGCAGACACAGCTACAGACACAGCTACAGACACAGCTACACAGATACAGACACAGCTGCAGACACAGCTGCAGACACAGCTACAGATACAGACAGATACAGACACAGCTAGACACAGCTGCAAACACAGCTGCAGACACAGCTACAGACACAGCTACAGACACAGATACAGACACAGCTGCAGACACAGATACAGACACAGCTGCAGACACAGCTACAGACACAGCTACAGACACAGATACAGACACAGCTGCAGACACAGCTACAGACACAGCTGCAGACACAGCTACAGATACAGACACAGAATCTCAGAGTGATTGTGGCTGAAGCAGACACAGAGAGGAGCCTCCGTCTGCATCAGCACAAACTCTGACAAAGACACTGCTGAACACACACTTCTGGGCCCACGGCACCACATGTCAGAGGGGAGCTCACTACTGTCACACACACACACCACACACACACACTACTGTCCCACACACACACACACACTACTGTCCCACACACACACAACCATCAAACCTGACGTGTCAGCTGGTGCTACAGTAAAGTGTGTTAACGATGGTTTTACCTCCAACAGTTTTTCTTCTGATTCAGTTTCTGTTTTTGTCTGAGTCTGGTTTAAAACGAACAGAAGCCTCCAAGGGTCAAAAAGACCTGAGTCTGCAGGAAGTACTCATTAAGTATTCATGATTTATGAGAGACTTTAGAGTAGAGTAGGGTAGAGTAGAGTAAGGTAGAGTAGAGTAGAGTAAGGTAGAGTAGAGTAGAGTAGAGTAAGGTTAGAGTAGAGCAGAGTAGAGTAGAGTAGAGTAGAGTAGAGTAGAGTAGAGTAGAGTAAGGTAGAGTAGAGTAGAGTAGAGTAAGGTAGAGCAGAGCAGAGCAGAGTAGAGTAGAGTAGAGTAGAGTAAGGTAGAGTAGAGTAGAGTAGAGTAGAGTAGAGTAGAGCAGAGTAGAGTAAGGTAGAGTAGAGTAAGGTAGAGTAGAGTAAGGTAGAGTAGAGTAGAGTAGAGTAGAGTAAGGTAGAGTAGAGTAGAGTAGAGTAAGGTAGGGTAGAGTAAGGTAGATTAGAGTAGAGTAAGGTAGAGTAGAGTAGAGTAAGGTAGAGTAGAGTAGAGTAAGGTAGAGTAGAGTAGAGTAAGGTAGGGTAGAGTAAGGTAGAGTAGAGTAGAGTAGAGTAGGGTAGAGTAGGGTAGAGTAGAGTAGAGTAGAGTAGAGTAGGGTAGAGTAGGGTAGAGTAGAGTAGAGTAGAGTAGAGTAGGGTAGAGTAGGGTAGAGTAGAGTAGAGTAGAGTAGAGTAGAGTAGGGTAGAGTAGGGTAGAGTAGAGTAGAGTAGAGTAGAGTAGGGTAGAGTAGGGTAGAGTAGAGTAGAGTAGAGTAGAGTAGAGTAGGGTAGAGTAAGGTAGAGTAGAGTAGAGTAGAGTAGGGTAGAGTAGGGTAGAGCAGTGGTTCCCAAAGTGGGGGTCCCGACCCCCCGGGGGGTCGCGGGAACCCCTGGGGGGGTCGCAAGATAATTTCCACACGAACAAAAAAAAAAAATATTTTTTTTTTTGAGCAAATATAAAGCCCTTAAATATTTATTTAGCATTTGAATTGATTCAAAAGGACTACTTGTTAAATTGTGTTTGGAGACTATAATATATTTTAATAACGTTAGTAATTTTGTCCCAGTCATTGCAGCGTCAATCAAAATCATCACGTAACACAGCTCACATCATGCGCAGCGACAAAGCGTGTCCTGCTGTTGTTTGCTAAAACTAAAGGTGTTTGGAGGCTACAAATAAATAATACCTGCTTTAAAATGAAACGTGGTTAATATCCACAACAGAAAAACCCGGAGGGGGAGAAAAGTCACTTGTATCAGGGGTCAGGCTGATGGTGCGAAGAGAGGGAGAGAGGGCAGAGGAGGGAGAGAGGGCAGAGGAGGGAGAGAGGGCAGCGGAGGGAGAGATGGCAGCGGAGGGAGAGAGGGCAGAGGAGGGAGAGAGGGCAGAGGAGGGAGAGAGGGCAGAGGAGGGAGAGAGGGCAGAGGAGGGAGAGAGGGCAGCGGAGGGAGAGATGGCAGCGGAGGGAGAGAGGGCAGAGGAGGGAGAGAGGGCAGCGGAGGGAGAGAGGGCAGAGGAGGGAGAGAGGGCAGAGGAGGGAGAGAGGGCAGAGGAGGGAGAGATGGCAGCGGAGGGAGAGAGGGCAGAGGAGGGAGAGAGGGCAGAGGAGGGAGAGATGGCAGCGGAGGGAGAGAGGGCAGCGGAGGGAGAGAGGGCAGCGGAGGGAGAGATGGCAGCGGAGGGAGAGATGGCAGCGGAGGGAGAGAGGGCAGCGGAGGGAGAGAGGGAGAGAGGGCAGAGGAGGGAGAGAGGGCAGAGGAGGGAGAGAGGGCAGAGGAGGGAGAGAGGCAGAGGAGGGAGAGAGGGCAGCGGAGGGAGAGAAGGCAGCGGAGGGAGAGAGGGCAGAGGAGGGAGAGAAGGCAGCGGAGGGAGAGAGGGAGAGAGGGCAGAGGAGGGAGAGAGGGCAGAGGAGGGAGAGAGGGCAGAGGAGGGAGAGAAGGCAGAGGAGGGAGAGAGGGCAGCGGAGGGAGAGAAGGCAGCGGAGGGAGAGAGGGCAGAGGAGGGAGAGAAGGCAGAGGAGGGAGAGAGGGCAGCGGAGGGAGAGAGGGCAGAGGAGGGAGAGAGGGCAGAGGAGGGAGAGAGGGCAGCGGAGGGAGAGAGGGCAGAGGAGGGAGAGAGGGCAGCGGAGGGAGAGAGGGCAGAGGAGGGAGAGAGGACAGAGGAGGGAGGAGGAACAGCGCGGAGGGAGGGAGGACAGCGGTAGAACAGCGCGTTAAAGAG